TATATTAAGTTTATATATATATTAATGAACACAAAACTTAACATCTCTTGGTAATTAAAAAAGTGTTACATATCAAAAAAAAATTAGAAAGCAAATATACTTGTAGTAATTCATATTTTAAAAACAATATAAAAACAAAAAAAAATTAATTACAATTAGAATTTCTAAATAAAAATAAAATTGTGTCTGCAACACACTATACCCCAACGGGCAGCGGTACAACAATTATTCACTACCATAATCAAAATTCTCACTGTTATACTCGGAACCAAATTCCGGAAGATAACCCTCTTAACAAATTAGAAATCTACACTTCAGAAACTTCAGAATTTAACCTCAAAAATAAAAGCTCACCCTTATAAACACGCTCTACATATAAATAAAATTAACTACTAAACAACATACAATACCTATTTATATAACATGAACTACTAAATAAACAATTATAGTAGAATAATAATACATATAAAATTTTAATTACTAATATCTAAAATTGATTTTAAAAACAAAAACCGCGGTGTACCGCAGGTTCAAACCTACTAGTATTATATATGCGCTGATAAATATGTTAGGTTCGTTTGTGTTATTTATAATGTGAAGTTCTTCTCACAGTATATAAAGTTAAATTAAAAAAAAAAAAGTTTTCAATATTACAAAAAAATATATAATAATAAACGAGGACAAATCTTGCAATCCGTAACTACAAATTTATTTTTAAAAAGGGAACAATTATAGTTATAACTTCTAAGAAATACCAATTTATTTTTGAATAGGGAAAAAAGGTTTGATTGTCGCATAGAAATACAATATTTGGCAAGGCTCATATTGTCTCGTAGGTATGTATAGCTTCGATTTGGGAATGCATTCGAGTTTGCACCCAATTGATAAACTAACTTACCGATGGGAGATGTGTCCACATATTGACCTACTTTGTTAATTAGAGCTGAGTACTATTTATTGTTTGTTCAGAATTTTACTTCATTGCAAAACAATCCGATCGCTCAATCCGTATACAATTTGGACGGCATAACAACAACCTTTGTAGTTTTACTTGTACAAGTAGTTAAAATCTTTTCGTCCAATATCATGGATGGGTCCTTTTTACATTCAATACATCTCTGCGACTGGAAGTTTATATGAACAATGCAGTTGTATGTAAGCTCATCAGATCAGAGAATATGTCAACATCCAGATCTCGATCAGTCGGGATATTTTAAGTACGTCTCATTTCTATGGATACATGAAAACAATTTTTGATTTAATATCAATGTGGAACCATTATACAGTTCACATATTTATCGCACGTCACCTAACATACAATAATATCGCAAAACTCGCACCATGTGGGACTATGTTCTTGGTTGCCCCCAATATTAGCTCCTTTATTAATTTTCTACATGTGGATATATTTATTGCTACCTAAGATAGGTTTTGTTAATATATATATGCCTACGATTGTTAATTTCTAGTGGTAAATCTTCTTACCGTCGATTACATGTTTTGAATATTATTATAATTCCATCCTTACTAAAAGTCGATTGTGTGCTCTTTCTGCTATATTTTTGAATCTGTATTACATTGACAGGTTTTAACTCATATATGAGCTTGTTTTCTTCATATATATTAAATATTATATCATTTCGGTTCTCTTCTCACTGTGATTATAACTTTAAACGTAGAAGAAATCATTTTCGTATTTACGTAAAGATTAGTACGTAACCTTTTTTTTTTGGTAACTGTGTGTTTTCCTTATAAAAATGACGCATATTAATTCAACTAAATTATAATACTATACATTATACGAGTGTCTATAAACCAAATGCAAAATATAAGAAAAAAGTGAAGTTCTATATGTTGCGTAAATTAACAGTCTTATATAATAAAGTAATAAACATCTACACATTAATTAGTGACCCGGATCGACTATATACACTCGCCATCTATACAAATACGCTATTTATTACATGTTTTGATATATAATAGAATGGGACTTATGGTTGGTGATGGATGATCTCTTCATGTGTGTACAGTAAGCAAGTATTTCTTTTTTTTCTTGTGAAGATGATTATACCGGAAGATGAATATTGTATAATGACTTTCAACTTCAGCCTCTTATTATATATACAACTGTCCAAAGCCATCCTATTAATGGGCGTGGATGAGTAGGTAGATCTTTAATATGGCAATGGCAATGGACATAATGATCATGATGAGATATCTCTTTATACATATATAATTTGACTAACCATATTACCATTTAAAACAAAAACAAACAAAAAAAAGAAGAAACAAACAATGTATGTATCCTCCATTTTTACACTAGTTCGCGTTGTAAGATTGTAACACCTAAAACGCAAACCGGACTACAATCAGTAATCACGTCACGTCTCTCAATTTGAAAGTCGGATTAGCTAATTGCATGCACACATGTCGACTTTGCGTCATCAAATATTCGTAATTATGCATCAATTTTATACTTACGTGCTGTTTTTCTTTTTTCTTTTTGTATATAGTCATCAAAGTGATATATATATATATATATATATATATATATATATATATATATATATATATATATGCATTCTTGCTTGTCACCAAGTTGCTATGTTTTGCATGTGTTCTTAGTCGTCTCTTGTTTTTATTTTCGAAGAAAAGGAGAGTTCATATTATTTTAACGTTACGCATATATAAAAATTTCACCCAAGAGAAGCAGCTAAAAAGGAAAAGGTTGTATCTCTTTTCCTTTTTAGCTGCTTCTCTTGTTTAGCTTGGTATTTTATTTCTTGCCGTTTTGTACAGAAAAAATTAGAAAATTGGTATAAAATTTAACCTTTTACCACAAAAAAAAAAAAATTTCACCCAAAATAAAATGAAGAAAGATGAAGAAATAGTAGTAAGGCTTTTGAGCTGGCTGCATTGATTGAGAAGGGCCTTGCCAACTTCAAAGTCGAAGTGGATTGATGAGAGATAGTATTAACTTCTATCTCCGCTAACCAATAATGCCAATAATAAAATCAAGCTTCTCTGACCGATTTCGTTAGTCCCATTGCTTTATTTGGTTTCACGGTTCGTTGGTTAAAAACAAGTAGTATAAGCATATATGGTTCCATGTCGTACATAAATGTGTACATGTACTATTTATAAAGATTTAAGAATAAATTTTTGTTAGCATGGCGGTAATTAATGACTTCTCGGTAAAAAGATAATTAGTGAGGAGGGGGCAGATTAAGAACCACAAGCCGACAAGTAGTGTGAGTCACTTGTGTATTTTTTCCTTTTCTTTCCATAAACAGTTAAGTTTCTCTTCTTCTAACCATAATGTGGTGATTCGCTTCAATTCAATTTCCGTTTGGTGGCGCGTATGCACGCACTTTTTAAAAATCATTTGTCTTTCTTTCTATCTCTCTCTCTATATATCTATATATGGCCTGTGTGTGAGGGAGAAAAAAAAAAAAAAAGTTACAATGTATGCATGCTCATCTTGCAATTTCTAACAATAAAAAATTAACCATATGCATTTGCGGAATCCTTGTGGCAAAAGTTGTACGCATGTGTCTCGTGCAATAACGTTGATGAGGGAAACAAAAATAAAAAGAGAGTGAATTTTGAATGCCGTTGTCGTATTAAGGAAATCAAACAAAAGTCAATAGGTTTCAACCACCCCTGCATGAAAAATATCATAAAGTGCCTCCTATAGACTAAATTAACAACGATAAGATGGACCATGGGCATTTAATATATGATACAATATATCAGAAAATCGCCGAATCCAATTATTGTTGGTAACAAAATTTAGCAAGTAATAGTACTTAAGATCCCATCTTCGAAATATAAAATCTTTGCTAAGACCATTATATAAACGAGGGGAAGTCTCGGTATAAACACATATCACCACCTTCTCCACTAATACTCTTCATATATATCATAAGTTTCTTTCTTCTTTTATAAATAAACTTAGTATTTTCAGCAAGCGAAAGACAAGTGTGTCAGAGATCTCAGAGGGTGATAATCCCAATGAGGATCTTACCCGAACCTCGAGGTTCGGTTCCCTTCTGCCTCCTCCTTCTCGTGTCTATTCTCTTCACTTCAGCGACTCTCTCACTCGCTCGTGTCGTCGAGGTTGTCGGTTACGCCGAGAGCAAGATCAAAAGCCCCCATGCATTTTCAGGCAACTTCATAATATATAACCCACATTCATTACTAACTTTTATAATGTTTTATCAAATGTGTGTGAAAATTAATTAAGATCATTTGCTATACAGGACTCCGAGTGACGATCGACTGCAAGGTGAATAAAGGCCATTTTGTTACAAAAGGTTCCGGAAACATTGACGATAAAGGAAAGTTTGGCCTGATTATTCCTCATGACACTGTCTCCGACGACGGAACTTTAAAGGAGGAGTGTTACGCTCAGCTTCACAGCGCTAAGGGTACCCCTTGTCCGGCTCACGACGGCCTTGAATCCACCAAGATTGTGTTTTTATCCAAGTCCGGGGATAAACACGTTTTGGGTCTCAAACAAAACCTCAAGTTTTCACCCGAAATTTGCGTTTCCAAGTTCTTCTGGCCTATGCCTAAGTTACCTCCTTTCAAGGGCTTTGATCATCCGCCTTTGGTACTTCCACCTTTTCCTAAATTCAAGATACCCTGTCCACCTAAATACAGCCCTCCCGAGGAGGTTCCTCCTCCGGTTCCGGTCTACGAGCCACCGCCAAAGGCAGAGGTTCCGCCTCCGGTTCCGGTTTACGATCCACCGCCTAAGGAAGAGGTTCCACCCCCTGTCCCCGTTCACGAGCCACCACCAAAGGAAGAGGTTCCACCCCCTGTCCCCGTTCACGAGCCACCACCAAAGGTGGAACTTCCACCGCCGATTATTAAGAAGCCTTGTCCACCTAAACCTCCGAAGATTGAGCACCCACCTCCTGTACCAGTTCACGACCCACCGCCGAAGGTAGAGCTTCCACCGCCGACCCCTAAGAAGCCATGTCCTCCAAAGGTCGAGCACCCGCCTCCGGTTCCCGTTTACAAGCCACCGCCAAAGGTTGAGCACCCGCCTCCGGTTCCGGTACACAAGCCACCTCCAAAGGTCGAGCACCCGCCTCCGGTTCCGGTACACAAGCCACCGCCAAAGGTCGAGCACCCTCCTCCGGTTCCGGTGCACAAGCCACCACATATCCCAAAGAAGCCATGTCCTCCGAAGGCCGAGCTTCCCCCGCCGGTGCCAGTCCACAAACCACCACCAAAGAAGCCTTGTCCGCCAAAGAAAGTTGACCCACCGACGGTTCCAGTCCACAAGCCGCCGCCAAAGATAGTCTTACCACCGCATGTACCAATCCACAAGCCGCCGAAGAAACCTTGTCCGCCCAAGATAGATCTTCCACCGTCGGTTCCAATCTACAAGCCGCCGCCGAAGATAGAGCATCCGCCAATCTATAAACCACCTGTTGTGATTCCGAAAAAGCCATGCCCTCCGCCGGTACCAGTATACGAACCACCGGTGGTGATTCCAAAGAAGCCATGTCCGCCACTCCCACCGCTTCCTAAGTTTCCACCTCTTCCTCCTAAATACATTCACCACCCCAAGTTCGGGAAATGGCCTCCGCTGCCTTCACACCCTTAAGAAACTAATACGTACACTCATGTATAATCAACGTCTTGCCGTTTTAATATATATCATCTCTGCATGTTTAATATATATTTTGTTTTTGTTTTTATATATTTCTTTTGTTGGCTTTCATATATCTCTGAGGTATATATCCTTTGTGTAGACTGTTTGTTTATATTTTCCAGCAATCTTCCAACAATAAATATAATATGATAATGATACGTTTCACTTTTTATTGTTTATTGGACAATATATCAAATATATTTAACGATTTGTAACCAATGATACATATAAGTTCAGCATTTTGGATCAGAGGGTTATAAGTAAAAAAATGAAGTTCGGTAGTGAGTAAGTAAGAAAAGAACACATTACACATTGGATGGAGATGGTCAAAACTCAAAAGGGCAAATCTTTCATTAGATGATCTGCATCTACATGCATGAGCCTTAACCTTCGGCGCTCGAATCATAATCCTTAACTTTGGTTTAGTGGAACAAAACCAAGGATCCAATGGGCTTTAGGCCTTTATAGTGATAGTACTCGTGGCCCAAAGCGAATTATTAATTGGTAGGTATTTTTTTTTTTTTTTGAAAAGCGCCAAAGAGAAAAAAACAAAAAAATCTCAAATATTTGTCATCTCTCTCTTCTCGCTAGGCTCTAGGGTTTAAGCGCGCTCTGGAACTGGTCTTTTCACTGAGCTCTTTCAATGGCGAACCCTAAATCCGTCGATCCGTCTCTCTGGTGGGATCCGTTTGACGTCCTTCTCGCGGACCTCGAGAATGCATCTCTATCTGATGACCTTCCTCAACCCATTGTAATATCTCTCTTCCTCGTCTTATACATGCGATATGGGGATGTTTTATTTTATCTTGGAATACAAATTTTGGTTTGCTATCTCAATCCCAGGCGAAGAAGTTGGAGGAAAACCACGCGTGGTTCGTTGGAACTGTGTCGATGTTCAAGTCACCGAGTGAGAAATCAAAAGAAGCTTTGAATTCGGATGTAGTCAAGATTAAGGAGCACCAGTTGGTGATAAAGCCCGAATTGAAAGATAAAGCGCTTCAAATCAGCTCTTATCTGGTGAGCTTCTCTTTTTTTTCCAATTGAACTCGTAAAGAAAATTATATTGGTTTTTTCATATATCAAACTCAAGCGCATGTAATTTGTCTATTCACATTCATATCATTGCCTTCATGTATATAATCTGTGCTTGAAATTTCGAATTTTTTTTTTTTTGAATTTCAATTTCGAATTTATTACTTCCTTCATTAAAAGGAATTGACCGTTTCTCTACAATTTCTGAAATCTTGGCCAGAATCTAGATGAAATCCAATCTTACATCCTCGTGGAAAGATGTATGGATCAGGAATATGGATCAACCGACTCCGTTGCTCAAGAATTCATTGACGTGGTTAGTAGCTTATGATCCAGCTTCCTTTGAAAATACTCAGTTTTCATTATTGCACAACTCTGGTTTTGTTGAATGAATAGTATCTTGCGAAGTGATCTATGACTATGAGTTAGGTTTCACAACTTTTCTTAAATAACTGCTTTTTTTCGTCTCCTGTATATTTTTGGCTTAGAGATTTCTATAGAATATTCTGATTGTTGTTTCTGATACAAAAATATTCATCCTATATGCTAGCATTCCTTTCCTTTAAATTTCTTGTTACTTTTGTATTATGGATCTTGTCGCTATCATGGTCAGATCAATAGCATGAAAGACTAGCTTATTAGCCGTGATGTGACTACATCATCCACGTTTTATTCTTTGTAGTAAGTTCTATAGATCATTACAGTGTAAATGTTGCTGTCCTATATTTTTGCCAACGAATTTACTTGATTCTTCAGCTTTCTTGCTAACTCTTTTGATGTCATTCTGTTCCAATGCTATTCTTGAAGATACTGCTTCAGTATTACATAGAGCGCCAGTGCCTATTAAAGTGTACAAAGCGTATTCTCATACATGCCTGTAAGTTGTGATTATGTTGTTCCCTATTTTTCCAGTCTCTCGTAGTTTCAAATGTTGTATACAGTTACTATTAACGAAAACAAAAGCTTATTTTCTGATGGTGGGGTGACACTTTAAAATTCCACCTACAGTTTTGTCCATTTATTCTCGTTTTTCAACTGATTGTTGCATTTGTACAGTATATGCGCCAAGAGAGGAAAGTACAATCAGGGAGGAAGCTGTAAAGCTGATCTCAGATGGGCTTGAAAGACGACAATCATCAGTTCTTGAGGACCTTTTGTCATCTTGGTTTCCACAGAATATGGTATGTGTTCTGAGCTGTAGCCCTTCTTATCATCTCATTTTATCTTTATTATATGTAGGCCCTCAGATTATACTGATGTTAAGGCACTGTATCTATCATTCCAGTAAACTTTTCCGGTCCATATTTGATTTTCTCTAGATTTTATTTTGGTAGGATGTCAATCTATTCACTTTGTGGGCGGAGGAGACACTAATTGAGGACAATTTGATTTTGGATATTCTTTTCCTTCTTTACCATGAATCGTTTTGCATATGTAATGGAGAAAGATGGAGAAAACTGTGTTCTTTCTATAAGGTACCTCGAATCACTAGCCACATGCCTGAGACTGGTTCCATTTTTTCTGTAACCAACCTTATTTACTTATAAGTGCTGTGTTGCAGGGGATTCTTTCAGGTTCATATAATTTTAGAAAGCTGGCTGTGTCAGCTGAAGCACAACATTCTGAATGTCGTGTTCAAATTCTGTTGCTGATGATTCTTATAGACACATTGGATATGGGGAATCTGTTACAAATGGTTCATGACGGAGTTCCTTTCAGGTTTGTTTAACTAATTCGGGAGGAAAACTGCTCAGATAAAGTTAAAAACCTTTTGCAAATAGAATACAATACCAGCAATTGGCCTAATTCTACTTTCTCCTGAATATCTGTTGATTTTGCCTAAAGGTTCTATTTTTCTTGTCAGGTCTGGAACTTGTGTCTTTACCATTGTTGATGTCCAAGAGATGGATACAACAATCTCAAACCTCAGCACTTTTGAAGTAAAGGAAACAGGACCCCTCGTCCTGGCATGGGCAGTCTTTTTGTGTCTTATATCATCATTTCCTGGGAAGGAGGAAATTCCTTTCCTGATGGTATGAAAGTGAGAATACTTCCATTTACTAGTCAGAGGACACACATTGTTCATGTATATGTATTTAATCTTACTTGATTATCAGGATATTGATCACGTGAGTTATGTTCATCAAGCTTTCGAGGCAGCATCCTTTAGTTATTTCCTTGAAATCCTTCAAAGCAATGTGTTGAATGATTTCGATGTAAGTTACATGAATTTTCAAATACCGAGCTTAACTTTGTTAAGAGTGGCACTTATTTATCTATCAGTTAATGGTGTGACGTCCACTTCACCAATCATCTGCAAATTTTGTTCATGTTATCCTCCCCTATGTTGATTCTGTCATTGTTTTTCTCTTTTCCAGGGGCCAGTGTATGGTTATCGTAGTGTTTTAAGGACTTTTATTTCAGCATTTATCGCGTCTTATGAGATCAATCTTCAGGTAAAACTCCATTAATTGTAGATGAATATTATATAATTTTGAAGTCTTTCATATCTGACTCAGCTCTACATTTTTTGCAGTTGGATGATGCCATCCTCGAGTTGATACTGGACATCCTCTGCAAGGTTTATCAAGGAGAGGTAATCTATATATGCATATTTTCCCTAACTTTTCCTCTGAGTCACACATCCACAAATGCTCATTGTGTGCCTTAATTATTCAGGAGTTGCTCTGTAATCAGTTTTGGGATCGAAAAAGTTTTGTGGATGGCCCTATCCGGTGTCTCCTCTTTGATCTGGAGAGTGAATTCCCATTCAGAAGTGCTGAATTTATTCGTCTCTTGTCGTCCCTGAGTGAAGGCAGTTGGCCTGCTGAATGTGTGTAAGTAGTAATTGGACAATATACTATGTGTGTTTATGTATGGAACTTTTCTATCTAGAGATTCTAGACGAGAGCAGTGGTCTGCATAAAGGCAGGATACTCCGCATACATCAATCTAAGCTTCCTTCTCTTAGTTGAAAATTTCTTAATTTCTGATTGCTAAACATCACCCGCTGCAATCTGCTGTACCTATTTTTGTGCAGATACAACTTTCTGGATAAATCAGTTGGGGTATCAACCTTATTTGATATTACTAGTGACTCTCCAGAGGATGATGCCTCCCAACTTGTTGAAACTTCCCAGCCATTGCATATATCAGGTCTTGAAGGTTTAGTGATTCCCAGCAATACTCGTGGGCGTATTCTGAGAATAATCAGCGAAAATACTTGCCTTGTACGGTGGGAAGTAAGTGATATCATCATTGTTTGAAAACTCTATTCATAAAGAAGACTCCCCCAATGTTATAATTTTTATGGTCTTATTGCTATTAATTGTTTTAGCTAGAGATATACTGATTTATGAAATACATATTCTTTTCAAGTATTCGCTATCCGGCATAATTGTGTTGATCATCCGTTTGGCCAATGGACTCTACATTGGTAACAATCGTGAAGCTTTTGTGAATCTAGAGCTGCTTAGTCGAATGGTGACATTTAACAAGGTAGCTACATTGCTCATTCTCATTTTTATCCAGGTTTATAAAGTAGGGATTGCTTTAATGTTCGTACACCATGAGGTAGATAATGGCCTTGTATATCTTCGAATTAATTCGTCTTTGACTGTAATCTCAATATTTGAAACTAAGGCTGTATGTCTGGACGTCTCTTATGTCATAGAATATGCATCCTTATTTTTCTTCTCTGACCAGGTTCTATAAAATAATTTCAGGCTGTATGTTTCTCCTTACTGAATGTCAGCCACTTCTTTTATGCTCACAAATCTTACGTGAATGGAAAGATGGAAAGTGATGTGAGGTGAAGTTTTTGCAATATGTTTCTCTCTTACATGCTCTCTTCCAGGCTGCTGGAAAATAATAATTTTTTTTTTTTTTTTTTTTCAGGGTGGTTGATATAATTTGCAATTCAGTCAGAAGCCTGACTTTTGACTCTGGTGGTGCAGCTGTGATGGCAATGGCTATTGATATCTTAGCTAACCTACTGCGATGGTAATCTTTTGTGATGCTTATTCATTTTTTATCTTGGATATCAAATCTTTTTTTCAGTATTCCTTTTCTAGCAAATGCCTGTCATAATTTTATCCGTCATGTTTAATGTCTTTTCATATGATAATAGTTTAGAACT